GGTGTGGAAGGCTGCTGCTCCGGGGTGGCTGGTGGCAACATGATATTCCGGCTGTCACCCCAATACTTACCAATACGCTCCAGCGTCCGAGCTCAGGAATCGATAACTGTCTGGTGATGGAGTTCTCAGCTGAGATTTAGTCACTTTCTGGGAAGAAATCCAAACAACATTTAAAATGGGTTTGAGTCTTTTTCAGTAGTGCTGTAAAAAAAGGTCAGAAGCAAGTGAAGAATGAAATCAGGAGATGGAATAGCACAAATCCACCGCACGAGGTATGGGTACACAAAAATTGTTGTGATCGCATCCCTCTCACTTTCCCAAACAGTTGTCGCAGTAATTTTGCAGTTCAGTTGAGCTTCAAATTTTTCATCTCCAGCTACAATAAAATTCATGATCCTTTATCTGATTTCCCTCACCCAGTCCAAAAGGCATAAACAAATCCCTTTTTCTGTCATCTCTCAGAATGCTGGCTGCAAAGCGACCAGAGAAAAAAATCAATCTCATTTTTAGCATTCTATAGTACATTCGTAATAATTTGTTTCAATTCCACTTCATCCACCTCAGAAGAGGTTGAGGCAAGGTTGGGAATGCGTGGCCTGGTCCTGCAGTGCGCATGCGTCTGCCCTGCGTGGAGACTTATCGGCTCCTTTCGGGGCCAAGCGCAGCTCATGGATCTTGCCATCCCAGATGCTAAGCTGCTCTACAATTAGATGTGGAAAACAAAAAATAAAAGGATATGAAAGCTTTGTGTGATATACAAGGGTGTACCATAAAGGTGGTGTCCAAAGATAATCACAAACATCAGCACAACAGCCAGCCAACCACACTGATAAATCGTCTTGCCACTTGTCAAGATGATTTTTAAAATGAAAGATTTAACTAAATATGGATGTTTTTAAACCACCAATAACCGTCACTAAACATTGTGGTTGCAGCAGAACAGAAAATAATTTGCAGTGGCTTCACCTTGAATTTCCCCGGCTGCTGCTGTGCGTGGCTGAGCACAAATACCTGCGAGCGAGCCCGTGAACCCTGCCTGCCGCAGCCTGGAGATCCCATCCCTCAGGAGATGATGGCATCCCTTGGGACAGTGCATCCCTCGGGACAGTGCATCCCTCGGGAGATGATAATGGCATCCCTCGGGACAGTGCATCCCTTGGGAGATGATAATGGCATCCCTCAGGACAGTGCATCCCTTGGGAGATGATAATGGCATCCCTCGGGACAGTGCATCCCTTGGGAGATGATAATGGCATCCCTCAGGACAGTGCATCCCTTGGGAGATGATAATGGCATCCCTCAGGACAGTGCATCCCTTGGGAGATGATAATGGCATCCCTCAGGACAGTGCATCCCTTGGGAGATGATAATGGCATCCCTCAGGACAGTGCATCCCTTGGGAGATGATGATGGCATCCCTCGGGACAGTGCATCCCTCGGGAGATGATAATGGCATCCCTCAGGACAGTGCATCCCTTGGGAGATGATGGTGGCATCCCTTGGGAGATGACGGCATCCCTCGGGAGATGATGATGGCATCCCTCGGGAGATGATGATGGCATCCCTCGGGATACTGCATCCCTTGGGAGATGATGATGGCATCTGTCCGGAGCTGTGGGCAAAGCAACAAACTGCTGTGTGCTTCTTTTTTCACGCCCACAAATGTGTTTCTAACGTAGAAAAATAAATGTATAAGAAATGTTTGCAAATAAAAGCTTTCATTACATATTTTTAGGTATCTGGTTGCTTAAAGCAAACTAACTTGTACATAAACAGAAGCAAAACAGTCACATGCTTTACCTTGAAAAATACAGGGCGATTGGTAATTTTATGTAACGAAGGATTCCAAATCTCTCTGGTGTCCATCTGGTTCATAACCAATTACTCTGATTTTTCTGTTTGACCGTTGTGCAGGGCTCAGTCTGTACTAGTGGGGGCAGAGTTGGTAAGCTGCTGGGAGGAAATGTTTTCCCTGAGTCGGAGGAAACCCACCCCTTTTCTCTCAAGTGATGAGGTGTATCGTGTCAAACTACAATTTTCATTGCAAGTTATATGATGCTTTTTTAGGTAGCTGCAAGAAAAAAAGACATAAGGAATTGTACCATTGGCAGAGAACAGATTAAATTCAAGGTGACAGAGCAGAAAAAGGCAAATTATGGTCTCATTTACAGAGCAATTCTCCTGGGCACAGGAGAGTTTCAACGATTTGAGCCACAAAAATTTGAGCTGAGTCACTGAAAACTAAATATAATTCAATAAGGTTGCTTAGAAAGGAACTTCTGACTGTCCACTACAGCTCTTAGTCTCTGTTATTTAGCGTTTTTAAAGGTGTGGATGCTCATTTAAATTTGGTTCTCTCAAGTCTGCCGAAGGAGGACCACTGAGCAACAGCTGAAAATTTATTCCCTCGAAGTTACGACCAAGACAAATATCAATTCTTTAATATATCTATTTTTAAACGTATTTCATAGGGAAGAAGTGGCACAGCTAACAGCACAGTCTGATGGCAGCCTGGCAGATTTTTGCTTCAGTTTATTAAAAAATATCCCTGGACTACAAATACTTCGACTACGCCCTTTGCATGCAACTAAATGGCGAATAGAGCTGTTGGATTAATAAACCTGTGGAGGTGAATCAGTCTAATAAAGTTTACTTTTATTTTTATGGTTAAAATTCAACTGACACGCTGGACAGAAAATGAGAGGCGGGTCTCTTGGTTCTTTTTTCTTTTGCAGGGCTGGAAATCTTCCCTTTGCTCTGCAGGGCTGAAATTGTATACTGACGCATTTCCGCTACGCTGCGTGTGTTAACTACACGCTTGAAGCATATAAACTGTTTATGAATAAAATACACAAACTCTTCAAAGCAATGCCATCAAAAGTATCATCAAAGCCCCATATAATTTGGAAAAAAAATACACCAGGCCATATAATGTAAAAGACCAGGAATAAAATACATTGATTTCAAATGCGATTACTGCCTCGAGGTTTTGAATCGAGAAACCACAAGACTAGAACAACTACAGTACAATAACACTGCGTTACAGAACAGGTATTTTCTCCTCCCAAGAAATTCTTTGCCATTTCAAATTCATAAAACTTCCATCTCTCACCGTCTTGACAGTACACACCAGCCGAGCCTCAGGAAGGCAGCTCAACGGGTTAATTTAGCAGCACTGTCATAACAGACTGCTTTCCAAAGATTAATTAAACAACCCCTGGATGATCCAGAAGCATGGGTTTGGTGTTACACAGAATAACGACGTTATAATTAATAGAAATAAAAACTTCAGCCTGAAGAAGAGAAGGCTGCGAGGGGACCTTATAAATGCCTACAAATATCTGAAGGGTGGGTGTCAGGAGGATGGGGCCAAGCTCTTTTCAGTGGTGCCCAGTGACAGGACAAGGGGCAATGGGCACAAACTGAGGCACAGGAAGTTCCGTCTGAACATGAGGAAGAACTTCTTCCCTCTGAGGGTGATCCTGACAATGAACTATTAAATTAGATTTCAGATTGCACACAAACAAAATGGGGACCCTGATGCCTTGTTTCCCTCAAATTCTAGAAATTTGGCTTCAGTCTTATTATTAAGCAATGCATATTCTATTTGATATCACGTCACTGTCTTTTGTCTTTGTTTAGGTCAATCTGGAGAGAGCAAGAGAATATATTCTCTTGCTTTATAGTCCCAAACAGATTTTCTTCGGTATTGCTCCCTTTACATATCCACTACTTCATTGAAATGAATCCCCTTTTCAGGTATTTGTTTCCTCCCTGTCAAAAGAAAGGTAAAAAAAAAAAAGGGAAGGAGTTATTGCACGAAAATTCATGCAATTTAATGAAGAATTATAGCTTTCCCTTAGAAAATAATGTACTGAGAGTAGACAGAATCTCTTTACCCCCAAAAGCCGAGACCAACCCGGTGTTTTCACAAAAAGCATGAAGAATTTAGCAGAGGTCTCAGAAGAGATCGCTGGGTAGCTGTTCAGCAAGCTGGGAATTCGAACAGAGAAGGAACATTTTATCGCTCTTTACCATAACACGTTGGATACAGGTTAGATACAGATTTAGCAAAAATTCTTCCGAGCCTGGTTATCAGCCTTTCAGGAGGAAAAGGCCAGAAAATTTGTTCAGGGAGTAAAACAAGTCTCTGAGGCTGCAGGCAGGGGAAGAGGGGAAGAGGGGAAGCCCGGCCCCGCAGGCGTCGGGCTCTGGAGGACATCTCCAGAGCCATGGTCGGAAAGGCTACGGGTCGGCAGGGCCACCACAAATCACCCTCCGGTGACTCCTCCCGGCCCGTGCCAGGCTGCTGGTGGTGTAACTATGGCAACGCCTTCTCTCCAGACCAAAGTTCAATTATTTTACATTTTTATTACCACTGCTGTTTGCTTAAAGTTTACCAGGATAACTTTCTGCTAGCACAGCGAGCAGATCCCAGATACTGAGGAGGAGGAAACAGCCTCATGCTAAGCAGGACTAACGAGAAGAAAACACCCTGAAGCGGTGGGAAAGCCTCTGGCTGTCAAAATGCCGTCCAGAAAAAAAACAGCCATGTTCGCATCCGCTTTTTTCACCTGCGTTTGCTCTTTCGTGGTGATTTGCGTCGTGCTGGCGACTCAGCACTGGATGAGTAGCGAGGTTCGCTTTTCCGACACGAACTCCAACGTCACGGTGAGCCTCACCTACGGCCTTTTCAGCGGTACCTGCGAACAGCTCGTCGATCCGGGACTGCAGGTTTCCCAGATGACGTTCCAAGGTGAGTGGTGTTACGCCTGGAAACGGATGGCGTCTGCTTGCTGGTGCAGGTGATGGACGTAGGAACCGTGGCTCATTCTTTTATTCATCTGCCACTCTAATACCGTGAGGGAGAACAAGAATAGCTGTAAACCAGTCTGGGGATTTAAGAGGTATAAAATAAGACCCCCAAAACCACACAGAAATGCCAATAGCAACTTCTTCTAATTACCTGTGATCTTAGCCTACACCTTGGAACAAGGAAAAAATACCAAATAGGAACTGCATGTAAAATTCATTTTAATTTTCAGAAGCTTTCAGTGAGGAACAGAAAAGCAACACTCAATTATCATTAAGGGATTACAAACCTCATTCACCTTCCAGGATTTTTTTTTTTTAAATTCTGTTAATTTTTTCATTTCAAATATTTTGCCACCTACTATCAGATTAGCATCGTTTTTACCAAAGAAGGTTTTATGAGGCTGCAGAAGGCAAAAGAGCAGAACATGTAGAACAATGATTTAGATAGATGTTGTGTTTATACATGTGCTGGACCTACACATTCATGACAGTATTCCTTTGGTTTCTTCCTTTAAGAGTACACCGTTCCTTTTTTAAGTGCTGTTATCAAACTTACCCATCTGGTTAGTATTTTCAAACCTTATGCATGCTCATGTCTCTTTTTCTATGCTAGACTGAAGTATGGATTACAACGTAGCTTGTCATCTTTTATAAGGCCCTTCTTCCCCCACTCAGTGTGTGGTTTTCAGGTGACTCCTCATCATCATGACTTTCCAAAAGAACTCTGAGATGAGCTTTGGAAAGAAGGTTATTAGAATAACATTTCAGCAAACATCCAGTAGATTGAGATTGAACTGTGTCTTATGTTGATACGCAATGGATACGAAAGAGAAGCAGCATAGGAGAAAAAGCGAAACAGAAACAAGAAATTCTGCATACCGAGTATGAACTACAGACTCGATACTGATTTCACACAGATCAGCAAAGATTTACTTAACTCTATGCATGAGTATCTCTACTGATGCAAAGAAAAGCATTCACCAAGCCCAGGGGTAGAGAAGCCTGAAAGCTGTTGCAAGGATCGAGGATTTCTACTCATTTTATGCATCTTGCTGTCTCACTGGGTTCAAAGCAGTAACGCCGACGTACACGTGTGAAGGTGAAAAAAGTCAATCAACAGAAACCTGATGAAAATTGGGAAGTGTAAGCCAAACAATTCCGAAACATGAGAGGTACTTTAAGAATCCCTCATTTTTGGTGGGCTGTTGTAAGCTGTCTCATCACAGAGAAGCCCCCAAGGCAGAGCACAGCAGACCTAGGCCTCCACATGGTTCCCATCTCCTGGCTCTTGCCCACCTTAATTTAGTACAGAAATTGTACCCAGACAAAGTCACCCAAATTACAACTGTGGCAAAGCTGTATCACGTAAGCCAGTTCACATGATAACATTTATATTGCGATGAAAAACCTGAGCACAGCAGTGCTCCCGGCAGAGCATATGGCATTTATGGAGGCCCTTATAACAAATCCAAAATCACAAGTCATTCAAACCAGTTCATCTACAGTTGTACCAGAATAATCGGAGTAATGTTTAGAAGAGTAAATATGCATTTCTAAGAATAGCTTATGTATGGTTGTATCTCCCCATGCCAGCTGGCTCAAGTCCCAAACCTCGTGCCATGCAGGCAGAGTCTTGCTGATTTTTATAGGGCTCCGTGTGAAACCAGGAGTCCACCCATGGAGAGCTGATTGCAGGGTGAGGAGGCAGTCCGGTGGGAATTCAGAACATGTGTCTTGCCCTTGTCTGCACGGCAGCTAACGCAACCCCATCCCAGGGCCGGGGCCCTACCTTCGGATAGATTTTAATTACAATTAATGACAAGCACTCACCGAACACTTGCATCAGTAGAGGAATTCAGTTCTTTGCATTGTCTGCGTGCATTTTGGTGGTGGTGGTGGTCTTCCCCCTACCAGATTTAGATGTTTGTGCTTATAATTTAAAAAATGTTGTCTCAATTCTCAAGTATCAGCCATTTAGGGATGAGCAAAACGAGCGAGCTTCAGGAGTTGCTGGTTGCTTTCAACAGCTGCTAAAAGAAAGTCATGCACTGTGAATAGTCTAAATACGGATTTGCCTGCATCCCTCACTAGTTCAGCTGGGCATATATCCAAGATGAAATGAACTGATTTTAAATTAATTCTTAGGCTCTATACTAGGCATGATTGTCACTTTTTACATTAAGTATGATTCCATACATCCTTGAAATAAGAAAAATACTTCACAGAATCACATACATACTATTTCTAAATTCAGATAGTCGGGTCCTCCTAAGACAGTAGATGTCTTGCATTTGATTACATCCTTAAGCAAATGGATTGCCTGTGCCGTGCAGAAATGAAGTGCTGTTCTTTCCCCACCCTAACACTTCAGGTACCAGCAAGAAGAGTTATAAACATCCTTTGACATCTCAGCACGATCTGTCGCTCAGCAAGTGTGCCCCCAGCTTGGGGGGGAGCTCTGCTGTGCACCCCGAGTGTGTTTCTCCACATCGTCATATTTGGGTGTGAGCAAAGGAGAATGGAAATCACGAAAGAGTAAATGAAAGATGGTAGCTTGCAGATATAGATTACTTGTTAGCAATAGCCCAGGATGAATTTTATTAATGACGATACAAAAGCAGATTATCAACAGCCTTTACAAAGACCGTAACTACTTCTTCTGGAAACCACGACATTAAAAGAGATTTCTGAGCATAAAGAAGGCACACAAAGGAGCTCGGTTTCAGCGAGTGTACAGTGCGTGAGCTGCCGAGCCAGGGCAGCCTCTTTAAGAGACCACCACGACTGACCTTAATAGAGCAAGAAATCAATACAGCTACTTCAGAGGCACTGGGGATGAGCAGAATGATCTGGCAGAATGTACAAGTTATTAAATAGCTTAAGTCCTTAGAGTCTCCATCAGCTGTTCTAATGATTTGTCCTGGAAAGGAACCGCCTAGGAATGTAATAATCTGTAAAAGAGCTTGTTTACAGCTTTGCTTGTTTCCAAGGCGAACAGGTGAAAATTGTGAGCAAGGTGCAGGAAGAGGCACGCCCCGAGAGCCCGGTAAACTCGGGGTAGATCTGACTACCGCAGCCAGCAAGGCCAACCGCACACGAGGAAGTCTTTGACATTTGCTGTAGCAGAGAGGGATCGATTAACTTTCTAACTTTTAAAATACATGAAAAATGCTTGAAAATTGCTGGAATGTCATTAATGTTATCATCAGTTTCTAGGTGTGCTATGGGATGTCCCGAAAAGTAGAAAGCTGGGTTGAATTCTGCTCTGGGTTTTTTTTTTTAATTTCTTTTTTTTTTTTAATTTTTTTTTTTTTTTTTTTTAAATGAGCAATTCACTATGTGTGATAAGTGATCACAGACCTCGTAAAAAGCTGCCAGATAAGCAGTGCTTAGCAAAGACCTCCTGGATGTCAGCTAGACATCATTCACACCCAGGTCGGTAAAAATTTGGGAAATTCTATCCGACCACACAAGAATTAAAAATGAAAAAAAAGAGATACCAAAAAATAAGGAGAGACATGGCAAAGGCCCACACCTCTGCTTTCACTCTGCAGTTAGGTTATTTTACGCTGATGCAGCGGTTACCCGTCTGTGGGTTACTATCAATTCCGTTCAAGTAGATCCACTACTGTAGATTCCTCCAGTTTCAACAGACAGCTTTACTGAGAAAAAAAAAAAATCTGCTGCCACAAACCCAGCATTTGATTAAAACCCTTTAGTCTTGTGCTGTTGCACAAGACCCTTACAACAGGCAGGGTCTGACAAAATTACATCCCCTAAACCGTGGACCGCAGAGATAAACAAGATCAATTAGGGGGTGCAATAGGGGTAGCCGGTCAGCTGGGGATGTTCCAAGTGATAAAATTAAGTGAGGCTACCGGAGGGAAATTACACAAACCTGTCTGATTCGGCTCCAGACCTATTGCTTGCAGTCAGCAGCGCCCAAGCAGTAGGGTGGCTTCAGCGTGCGGGCACGGTGCCACCGGCGTGTGCTCACTGCCATTTCGTGGAGTGATGTCGCCTGTCTTTCCTATGCTTCCAGGAGAATTGCTGCAATTTGCAGCTGATTTCCATAACACATCCTTACCTGCCTTTTCCTCAAACAGAAATTAACTTCTACGGGGAACATATAAAATGAAAGAGAAGCCCTCCTTTTCATTTATTTCCAATAGCTCTTCTTTTTATTATGAATGTTTATTTTCTTTTTAGGGGGTTTTTACTGTTTTTTCTGCTGTGATTTCTCCAGTTTATGCACTAACGGAATACTTTGCAGCAATGGCATTGTATTAAAAGCAGCACAGAAAGAAGTTTTCCTACAAACGGCTGTCTATCACAACACCCATTTGAACAGAGCTTGAAAATATTGTTCTCGTATTTGTTATAGGGTAAGGCAGCCACAGGCACATTCTAGTTACCTTTTCAATCTTTAAACTGAAAGGAGGAAAATAATATATTTCAACGCAGCTAGACTGCAATTACACTTTGAGTATATTGCATTCACCTTTGAGTCTCTTATGAACAGCAACATATCAAATAACTAGAAGGATTTAGGCAAAACCAATAAAACTGATTACAGTCCTGGAGGGGTAGGTTATATGTGCCATGTGTAGAGGGCCAGCATGCACATAGCTACAGCAGCTACACCAGGCAATGACCGGTGAGTACCAACTGCAGCAGGCTGGGGCAAAAAGGAGCCATGCCAGGATGCTCGATGTTAAGATGCACGGCTCCTTGACCTGTGGCCTCAGGAGCGGAGACGCTGAGCGCTGGAGCCCGAGGGCAGGGCTGAGCCAGCAGCTCGGGAGCCCATGTTTGTCCCCTTGCCGAGGCCAGGGCCACCACCCCTGAGCACGAAGCGCAGCCCCTTGGGAGCCACTGCACGCCATGCACCCAGTCCTCCCGGTGACAAGGAGGCAGGAGCTGGTCCTTTCTCTTAAAAGAAGGGAACAGGTACTGCCTCCACCAATTTTTTTTCTGCAGGACATGGCAAAAGACAGATCTAGTCAGGATATGAACACCAGCTCAACCATGTCTCATCTGTCTGTGAATGACCATGCTCCGTTACATTTGTCCCACAAATGCACCTGACCCTTCCAACCTAAACTGCTTTACTGGACTTGGAGAAGCTGTTCCCTTTGTCAGATTTATTCCTCCTGAGGGGATGCTGCTATATTAAAAAGAAATAACCTACAACTGGAGCCAAGTTTCAAGTCAGGTAGCTGCAGAAGTTGCCAGACATCTCAGGAGCGATGGGCAGGGGAACACCTAGTTTTCTGATCCGATGTAGGCATAAAATTTCTTTCTGGCCATGTCAAGAGGAAATATTTACAGAAGTATTAAGAAAGAGAAGTTTACTACCCAACCCAATGCCTGGGAAGTTTGTGTGCCTGCAGGATCAGCAGACAGGCACTTATTTCAGACTAATGCACCTTCATCCCATTTGGGCTTTGGGTTCACGTGTTGTGTCCAAACTGTTCCTGGTACAGCCAGATCTCTACAGATCAGCCAAATCTCTGGTTATTAGCTTTTAATTACAACCCTGTCAGTAAGCCATCAGGTCGTCCGAGCCCATGGGACTGTGCTGGGAAGGCTGATTGTCAGTGCTGAGCCGCTCTGTTTCAGTTGCAGATAACCTGAACTCCACCGGGGCGAAGAGCACCATCACCGCGATCATTGTGATTTTGGTTCTCAGTTTGCTGAGCTCCCTGCTGAGTTCTGGGTTCACCTGCACTAATGCTGTCAGTAATCCCTACCAGACATTCTTAGGACCCATTGGAGTCTACACCTGGAATTCCTTATGTGGTGAGTAGCGCGTCCTGTGCTGACCACTTTCTGCCCACTATATGGATGAACGCTGTGTTCTCTTCGATTCCAAAATTAAGAAATATGTATCTGTAAAAGGAAACACTTGGAAAAGTATTCTGTTGGTTTTGTTTTCTAAGCATGTCTGCTGGGATACCTGAAAACCAACATTTAAGGACTGGTAAAACAGTATTATTTACTTGAAGTGGCACCATTGATCAGTAGGAGGCTGGATTCAACGGCAGCAAAAATGGAAATGAAAAAGCCTCAGCAGGCGTAGCATCATTTCATGCACAGTGGACATCAAGAAGAACAGACTAAGCTGGCAAATACAGAATGAAACAGTCACAGAAAAGTATGCCCTGGATGCGACTACAGTGCAATTTGTAACCTCTTCAAGACCTTACGTCACTATTTTATGGTATTTGTAGCATATTTGTTGCTGGGTCACCTACATACCAAATTAGGCCTCCAAAGTCTAATCTAAAGGATAGATTCTATCTTTGTTTCCGAAAAATGTCTTGAATAAATACATCCACAACAGTATTAGCAGGGGGAGGCAGCAGTTGGGAGGACTGAGTCATGGCAAAGTTTGTTTCCTCCTCTAAAAAAAACACTTTCACAGAACAGAAGAAATTTTAACATTCCCTAAGCAGAAAAACCGGTAGTGACACTGAGCTGGTAGAGGGGTGGACTCTGTCAGACAGCTCCCTGGAGGTGTAATCCCTCGGTCACCTGGTGGGCTTGAGCCTGGCTGCTCCTAACGCACCTTGCTACCCTCTACATCTTGCTGTAGGAATGGCTCCAGCTCTCACACTCACTTTGTCTCAAGAGCATTATGCGTCCCTCTAACAAGAAGTTTGCACTGGAAAAACTTTCTTTAAAGACATCTGATTACAGAGTACTCCAGCATGGGCGTTTTGCCCTTCAAAAGCTCTTCAGGTCCAAAGATGCTCTGCTGGTGGAGCAGGAGCTTGCCTTCCCTTGAGCAGTGTCCTGCCCTGGGGCCACGCTCTGTGAGCAGCCTTTGCCAAAATCAGACCTTGGTGGAAAGGTGCTATGACCTAGAAGTCTATTTTGCCATGGGCATATTTTTATGAAAAAATCATGCATCATTTGATGTGTATCTCAAACATTCCCAATTCTCTTACCAGATGTGCTGAAAGTCCAGTGTCCTCCCGAAAGAAACTGAACCTGTTTCAGTGGGAACGTGTGTAGGATGTTGTACCTAGAGGGAAGGAATAGAAATATTAACCCTAGTGTTCAGAGATTATACCTCCCTTCACACTATGAAAGCAGAGCTGTAAAAACATTGTTTAGCTAAATGTCAGAGTAACCCAACTCCACTTATATTCAGAAGGCTAAGGAAATAGATACAGATCTAATAAGATCTAATAAGACATCTCATTTTGACTTATCACAGAGTCAATGGAATAATTCGGGTTGGAAAGAACATGAGGTCTCTAAGTCTAAGCTCTCGAGCCAAGCTGGGTCAACCCTGAACGCAGACCGGGTTGCTCAGGGTTTTATCCAGTTGTAATAGTGCACACCCCATGAATTTGGGCTCATATCAAAAAGGCATTCTGCACATCACCCAAGGGGGGAATATTTTACTCATCAGCAATAAATTCAGTGGAAAAAAAAAAAAAAATCACATTAAATGGCCTTATTTAAGAACAGTCAGTGGGAATCCATTAATTTTACCAGAAGATACAGCTGCCAATGTCAAAACACCTGGCAGGCACTATTAGATGGGACAAAAATTCTTTAAATAGCCTCATATTTTACTAATGGAAAATATTAGGTTAATCTTTGTCCTAGTCCAGGTACTCTAACCGATTTAAGTAGACTGTTTACAAGTAGCTACATAAACAGCACTGCAGTTTCACCTCTAATATTTGTATTTATATTTTCTAGGAATCTTCACACTTATAGCCATGATACTTTTTCCTGTGAATATAGAAGAAAATGAGCTGTCTGAAAAATTGGCCCATGGATGTTTTTCTTTTCTGACGACACATACCAAATCTGAACACAGTTATGGATATTCATATTGGATCATGCTACTCATCGTTTTTCTGAACATTGCTTCTATCATCATCATATATTTCTATGACCATGCCAGATATTCCAAAAAGAAACAACAGGAAAGACCCATTGAAAATGCACCAAAAGATGTCATTCTCTTTTAAGGATACCACTGAAAAGAGGGTGTAGAGGAAAAATGACTATTTCATGTGGACAGTCATGGCTGATCATTTCCACACAAAGCAAAGCTGTGTGTATCGTTCAACTAAGAAAATAGCACATTGTGTCTTCAAAACAATTTAATTGTATCTTTCTGCTAGTGTATTACTTTTACATTTCTGTTGGTACATGCACTGCCTAAACACCTCCGAGTAGATGTGACCCAAAGTGCCTGGTGCCAGCACCGTACCGTAGGAATGGGCCTCATGTGCCTTATGTCCACTGGAACAGGCTGCCCAGGGAGGCTGTGGAGTCTCCTTCTCTGGAGATATTCCAGACCCGCCTGGACGCGGTCCTGTGCAGCCTGCTCGGGGTGACCCTGCTTCGGCAGGGGGTTGGACCAGATGACCCACAGAGATCCCTTCCAACCCCGACCATTCTGTGATTCTGTGTGCCTTATGGCTCCACTGTTCCTTGGAGAGATCACCATGAAAACCAACTCCTGGAAGTGTTCCTTCTCTCCGTACCACCACCATTCCAAGAGGACTGCTGCCCACATTCCCACTTTCTGGATTTGCTGGACCGCAGGACCAAGCCGCGGTGGCTGCCATGGCTCTGTGCAGGTGTGCACCAACCTCGGCACCTGCGAATGCGTTTCTGATTTGCCCTTTGGGTCTCTGAGTTGGAAGACCAGAGACCTTGTTTCGGTTCTGTGTGTAATTTGGGATCTCAAGGGGCAGAAACAGTGCAAACCCCAGGAACTCTGGAGATGATAAGAAACGGTCACCAAGGTATTGGTGCTTCATTTCGTCCTGCGGTTCTTGCTGCTGTCCTTTCTCTGCCCAGGGATCTTCTCCTGCAGGTCCCTACGCGCTGCCCCAGTGACGGTGGGCAGGCTTGCAGATTCCCACTTATCAACAGGAGCGTGAATGCTGGGACAAACTCGCTTGCAGTCAGTCACCTTCACATCAAACCTCCCAACCGCAGCAGCACTGACCCCTTTCCATGCTGCCGTTGCTCAGGACGTTCGTTCGTGGTTGGGATGGCAGACAGGGCAGCACAGGAGCCCAGTACCCATAAGTTACTAATTTGTAGATATATCACCAAATGCTGTTTCAGGCTATTTATAGACCCTTGATTACTGTCAAGAGCAAACGGCAAAGCCACACCTTGAGCAGGTGTGGCCATCTGCTTTCCCACCCACTATGCCAGACTGTGATTTTGCCCCAGCAAATGCCAAACAGTGGGCTTTAGAGATGACTGTTTATGGCAAATACCATCCCTATGCCCAGTTTAATTAGTATTTAATGTGCACACAAAGACACACAACTGTAGAACTGCACAAAAGCGGGGAGCTCCCTTCCCGTCCCCCCAAGGGACAGCGAGGAGGTCAATGTGACCTTGGGACAGAAGATATTGTGTAAAATCACGCTTCATGCACACGCCTCAGGAGAAGCGCACCGTGCAAAACTGTGGCCAGCACCTTCGGCTCCCTTGCTCCTTCCCTCTGCAGCTGGCAGAACAATTTTTTTATAGTGTGGTTTTCCTTTACAATATGGTTTTAGAAGTCATGCTTGATGGCTGTCCTGTGATGCAAGAGATTCTCGTGGAGAAAAAAAAGCATTTCTGAAGAGGGGATGAGCAGGTACAAGAGGTGACTTCTACGCTATTTATGTAAAAAAATAAAGTTTCAGGATTAAAGCGCCCGATACTTTAAGCAGCTCTGCTCTCTCAAAGGCATCAGAGCAGAGGGCTTCTCCATCCTGCTCAAGCATTTGACTAAAAGTACCATGAGGGCAGAGCGGGGTGGGGGAAAAATAAAAGAGGGTTTCTAAGACTTCTTCCCTCTGAGGGTGACGGAGCCCTGGCACAGGCTGCCCAGGGAGGTTGTGGAGTCTCCTTCTCTGGAGATATTCCAGACCCGCCTGGGCAAGGCCCCGCG